AAAGATCTACACCTAGCCTTCTCGGACAAGGGCGAAAAATCTCGGAGGGCCCGCGTGCAAGTTGCGCATGTTAAAGATCCCTTGGTAGTCTAAAATCGGCCGCCACCCGGGCAAAATTCAAAATTTCCTACCGGCTGAAAAAGTGTAATGTGTCCCGCGCGCTCATATTATGACCTTATGCAGTTGCGAGCGCCGTAAAAGACTTATCAAAACCCCCCAAAAAGACTGTCCAGCGCACAGAATGGATAAAGAAATAGAAAGTTTTGTTTTAGTAAAATTTTTACGGCACTTGCAACCCAATAAGGTCATATAAGTGCCAAGGATTTGAGATGTTAAAAGAGAATGACAGTTACAAAAAAGGAGGACAGATTAGGACGATAGATGTTTGATAGGAAACAAGGAGCAAACCACACCAGTGCACCGGCCAACCTCCCACCAAAAAATAGAGAGGCGGGTTGGGAGAAAGGAAATGACGAAGAATGCGAAATAGACAAATACGGTAGGGCGGGGATGAAAGGGGATGAGGGCAGGGGGTCGAGCCTAATGGCTAGAGAGACTCGAGAGGAAGAGAGCGATGGAGAGATAGGGAGGGCGGTAATTGAGAAAGAGCGTTAAAGTAAAAAATTAGGAGGGTAATCGAGAAGGATTGGGAGAAGGAAGGAACTAGAAGTAGATAAAGGGGAAAGTAAAAGAGAGGAATGAGAGTGAAGTGAGACGGGCAGAAAAGGAGAGGGAGGGGGTAGAGAACGCGAGAAAGGGAGAGGCAGACTGACAGACAGACAGACAGACACACAGACAGACACACAGACAGACACACAGACAGAGAAAGAGATGGAGGGAGGGAGGAAGGGGGGTATGTTTAAGCTTCCGTATCGCACTCGTGAGGTTTCCGTAGAGATTTAACTAATTCGGCGCGCTGACACCTGTAGATACCAGACACCTCCTGCTGGTTAGGGGCAGGAAAAGGAGTGGGGTGGGGGTGATGGATGGTTGGAGAAGTTTGGGGGAACGGGAAAGGAAGCAATAATATTATGGGCACAAGTATAAAGGAGTTGTTTCAAGAAGGCGATACATGTCAGAAAAAGAGGGGAAAAATGTTCTCGTAGGCAGCTCTTAGAATCCCGTTTCCTCTTTGATGAGACCCTGTCTTCTTTGTTTTCAGTTGTGATTTGTAAGCACGAACGTCGTTGAAATTGATACGCATTATTTTTTATAAGGCATTTGTTTTTGCTGTGCTTCTACTCTTTTCTCTTTTTTCGTACATTTCGTGTTGTTGGCGGAACCTTTTGTACAAGACTCTGTACTTGGCTGTACTGGGTTAGTATGGATACTGATTCGCCTTAATTAAAGGAAGATGCCCCTCTGTGTCTTATTTTGGCAGATCAAAAATAATATCGGAAAGTGAGAGATGGCGGGAGGGGGAGACTGTTTACTTGCCGATGTCAGCGAATAGACACAGTCAAGAAGCGGTTTTTAACATGTATAATAAATCGATAGACTTAAAAGTGGATAGCATTTGCATAGCGCAAATTCCCGCTCAACAGCAAGTTATATGCGCTTTTCAATCTAAAGTAATAATAGTAGGAGTAGTAGTAGCAGCAGCAGCAGCAGCAGCAGCAGCAGTAGTAGTAGTAGTAGTAGTAGTATCCAAGTAGACCTGATAGCAGTCTGAAACAATTTAAACTTCTTGGAGAACATACATATTATGAGCAAAAATATTTGTAAGAATATTATTACGTCTGGAACTAAAGGAAGACATTCGAGTGATGTCACAACAATGCTTTAGGTGTACCTGCAGGGAAGACATTACTTTGTCCATCATAAAGAAAATGTGGCACTGACAATCGAAAAGAGGGGAAGAGGCAAGGGGGGGGGGGGACGCTGCGTATCTCAACCCATAAAATACAAAAAGAGAGGAGGGGTTGTTGTAAAAAAAACAGTGCTGATGTCGTTCTGTGCTCATCCGTGCTGGTTCGTTCCTCCTACAATCTGGGTTTCTTTGAGATTTAAAAAAAAAGGGGGGGGGGGGGGGGGGGTTAGTAAGAGTTTTACGGCGCTTGCAACACAGTTATGTCATCATATACTTGTCGAAGATTAGTGGCGTAACAAGATGGTAACAAACACAAAAGGCAGGATGGGAAATAACGCAACAAATGTTTGATAGGAAAGAAGGAGAAAAGCACATTAGAACGCCCGCCAACCACCCAATACGAAGTTTTAGTGTACGCGGGACAAGTTGACAAACCCCTCATAAAAAGCCACGTGTAGTCAGGGGCAGAGTAGGACAAAAAGCAATACTAACATTAAGTAATAGGGTCAGAACACGCTTGGATATCCGCTAAACAGTTACTGTTTAAATATGGTTGACGGCAAAGCAACATAATAACGGCTACAGTCGGTCATTGAAATAGTAGTAGTAGCAGCGGTGGCAGTTTTCTTTTAGTAATGGTGGCAGCAACAGCAAGAGTAATGTTACCATTTACTGTATAGAGGAACTTCCGTTATCACTATTTTGGGAGGTTTTATTAAACGTAAATAAATTGAATTAAATTAACAATTACACGATAAATTAATTATTCCCGTGGAGAAGTTTGAGTTACAGAGGTATATGTGCATTCATGTGTGTAGGTATGCCTTTGTAACTCAAATTCCCCCCCACGGGGATCAATGAATATTTATTTATTCTTTTTTTTCCTTTGGTCTATAATAATATTACAAAAATACTAGTGATAATGAAAGGGTTTTTTCTGCAACTGAAGTAGCATCGCCACTGCCATGTTCACCGAGCCCCCCCCCCCCCCCCTCCCTATCTGGCCGGACTGACCTCTCGGAGTGCGAGCAAGGTCTATTCTTTCTCTGCATAGCCAGTGCCGGACCTGAGATGGTCAGCGTTGTCTGGTCTAGCCTTTGATCTTCGCCGACACGGATGTTTTTGGTTCCACTCACGCGTCTGTTTCGGAGATTTTTTTTTTGATTTTTTTTTTGTCTTCTTCGTCCGGCCAACCGTCAGGGTTGCAGTACGCCCCGCTGTTGTCTTCTCGGGTTGGCGCTTGAAACATCGACCTGGCAACAGCCGATGCCTTCATAAATAAGTTATGATGGAAAACTTACCGTTTTGCTCCTCTTCAACTCGTTTTGGTAGCTTCAGAGGTGGCGACTTCCGAGTCAATTGCTCAGTTTAAGATACGTTTGAATGAATGGAGGAAAATCTTTAAAAAGCTGGCAGGTCTGGAAAGAGAATGGGAACGAAGTGGAACGCATTTTAGTATTGTGTCCTTTCTTTTATAAGTGTGTTCTTATGCTCCTTCCTTTAGAAATAACGGCTCCTAGTTAGTTCTCGGCGCTTGATTGATTAGCAGCGTCCGTCTTTTATTTGTTTCGTTTTACTGTTCAAGTTTTTTTGTAAGTGCCCGTCTCAATGATAGAAGCTTCTTTACTCGGGAGACGGGGAAGATAACTGCCTGCCTAAGGAGACTGGCGATATCACAGCTGCTGTATATCGTGTGTGTGTGTGTGTCTGTGTGTGTGTCTGCGTGTGTGTGTGTGTGTCTCTGTGTTTGTGTGTATGTGCGTATGTGCAGAGACTTGGATATTATGTTTTTTACAAAGTATTTATCATTACAAACACGTCCGACGTCTTGCGCTGTTGGCTTCACCGGGAACATATTTTTTATCTTTAAAAAGCAGTTGCAACAAACACGTTTACTAATTTTATTGGTGTGGTGGCGTCGGTAGCCGAGTGGTTGGGCTACTGGGCTCGTAATCGTGAGATTGCGGGTTAAGAGGTTAGAGCTTCAGCTCAGTCCCTTGTTTTGTCCTTTGGAAAGACACTGTACACGACGAACTTCCTATTTAGCTCGGTCCGTTCGGTCCCGCCTCTTGAATAACTGGTGTAGATCGAGTGCTGGCCTGGATATAGCAGAATGTGCACTGGCAGCTCACACTGGTGAGGGATGGAGGGTCATTACACGTCAACCTCTGAGTCAGAGATGACACATCCAAGTATCCGGTTTGATAGAGACATTAAATATATACCTGGTCACGTTTTCGTTATTAACATTTAATTCATCTCCCTTTCTTTCATCTTGTTCAGAAGTTGCTACCTCTCGTTTGTCACGCCTGAACTGCTGGTTTGCAACAAAGGCGTTTACGTATTTGATTGACCTTCCTTTCCTCCATCTTGTTCAGGAGTTGCTGCCCCTGGTGTTCATGCTTGAACTTCCCGTGAGTTCCCCGTCCCTGAGCCCCGAGGCCAACTCGCCACTGATCCAGCAGCTGCAGCAGGCGCACGGCGTGACCATCACGGTGAAGCAGCGGGCGCGGACCACCTACGCCAGTAGCACGCTGGTGGTCAGGGGCTCCGTGCACAGCGCCAAGGGCGTCAAGCAAGCCACGGCACGCCTTATGGAGACTCTGGCTGGAAACGTGAGTCTCTTGTCTAGTTGCTAATATAATTCAATGCCCCCGTCGACAAAAAGTGGAGTCCGCTTTGGATGGATGTATGTGTGTGTGTATATGTGTGTATGTGTGTGTATGTATGTATGTATGTATGTATGTATGTATGTATGTATGTATGTATGTATGTGTGTGTGTGTGTGTGTGTGTGTGTGTGTGTGTGTGTTTGTGCGTGCGTTTGCGTGCGCGTGCGCGCGCGCGTGCGTGCGTGTGTGTGTGTGTGTGTGTGTGCGTGCGTGCGCGGTGTGTGTGTGTGTTTGTGTGTATGTGTTTGTGTGTGTGTACAAACATAGCATCACGTAGTACAGAGATAAAATTAGAAAGGTATCAGGGGCATAGTAGAGCGTAGAACGTAGGAACATATATGTTCTTTGTCACTATAGAACAAGGTAGATCTTTCAGAGACATGACATCACAAGCTAGCACATGGTGACATACCCGCCCATGTCCTCCATTGAATAAGCCAGGTTTATCAGAGACATAATATCACAACCTCGCACGTCGTGGCGTACACACACTCTGTCCTCCATGGAATAAGAAGTGTATATTAGAGACATAATATCACAAGCTGTTTGAAGCTATCACATGGTAAAGTACCCGGCCTGTGTCATCTATAGGATGAATTAGGTATATCAGAAACATAGTATCTCAGCCTAGCTAATCGTGACGTGCCCACTCAATGTACTCCATGGGGTAAGACATATTTATGAAAGACATAATATCACAAGCTAACTGAAGATACCCCATGCTGAAGTACCCGGCCTGGGTCATCCATTGGATAATTTCGGTATGTCAGAGACATAATATCACTTTCACTAACTCGCAAATCGTGACGTACCCGCCCTATGTCCTCCGTGGGATAAGACAAGTATGCCAAAGACATAATATCACAAGCTAACTGAAGCTATCCCATGGTGAAGTACCCTGCCTGGGTCATCCATTGGATAATTTCGGTATATCAGTGACATAATATCACAATTTATCAAATGATGCAGAGACATAATATCAAAAGCTCTCCCATGGTGACGTATCCGCCGTGCGTCTTCCTTGGAATATGACAAGTAGATTATGAGAGACATAATATTACAAGCTAGTTGACGCTATCCCATGGTGACGTAGCCGGCTTGTGTCGTCCCCCAGATGAGCCTGCCGGTGTCCATGCAGCTGGAGATCGCGCCCCAGCACCACCTGTTCATCATCGGGCGCGGCGGCGTGAACATCAAGCACATCATGCAGCGGACGGGCGCCAACATCCTCTTCCCGGACCCCAACACGGCCTCGCCACAGCGCAAGGGTACCGTCTACATCAGCGGCACGGTGGACAGCGTCTTCATGGCGCGACAACATCTTATTGTGAGTCGCTTTGTTACTTTTGTGAAATTTTGTATTTGTATTTCACTGATGAAAGTAATCAGCAAATCTTTAATAATAGTTATTTTATTGTGAAATTTGTATTTGTATTTCGCTGATGAAAGCAATCATATAGCAAAAGGCAAGTGCCATTTTTTGGGACAATGATTTTGTATAGTATTAAAGACCGTGAGCGACTAACTCTCACTGGCAACATCGACAGTAAGCGAGGCAGGGGTTACCGAATTTAAATGTCCTTTTCTAAACTCATTTTTTGTTTTAATTCACCTTTAAATTCGTTGTTCCGCCGAGTGTTCTTGGAGTGTTGTGGCTACCCTTGTGTCATACGTTTGAACCGCCGCCATAGCCACGCTAATCACGTTTGTATGGAAAAGTAGTACGGTAGGTTATCCCAAAAACATGAGAAAAAAAATCAAGGAATGTAGCTTGCGTCTTTCAGACCCCCCTCCCCCCTTTTTCCAATAGAAATAGAAAAGAAGAAGAAAAAAAAAGCAAGACGACATGTATAACAGATTTGTTTGTTATGTTTTGGGGGAGTTAAGGGTGGGTGTTGTTTTTTAGGGGGG